GTAAGGAATCCTTCCAGCTCTTTCCATGTTCTCATATTCCCGTGTCTACTGGTGTCTCACTGTCTCGTGCCGTATTGCAACGTAGTCATTTGCGGGATTTCCTCGCCCCGGCGGAGCATCAAAATATGCGCCCGACAGTACACGGTGGTTCCATTCGGCTCGGTTGAGAAGGGAACCATTCATCGTGTTTTATTGTGCGGCGGGAATTGTGTATAAACGGCCATGTACAGTTTGGATTCTCTTCTCGGATGTCTTCATTGTTACATTCGATGATTTGCACGCGAAACCGGTCTGCATCTGCTCAAGTGGGCGGACAGGCGCGATATCACGTCGGAATCGAAAGGCAACAGCCCGGCACAAATTTATGATGCAGCTGGAACATCTTCCCAATTTCTGGCTTTCTTGACGAGAATTGCTATGATTCCATGTCAGTCCGCACTTCCTACGCCGACTTCGGCAGGGGGAAGGAACAAAAACATCCTCCGCGAAAGCGCAAGACAAATGACGCCAAACATGAGGTACAAACTCCTCGCAAGCGGGAGACAACCAATTACATTTTTTGTTTCCCTCTTCTGAAACGACTCCCATTAGGCGTCCGGCGCGCAGCACAGAGCTGAAAAACGGAACTGGAATGAGTGAGTGAGTCAAGGCCGGACCACTCTCCCTTGGTACGCCCCCCTCCCAGCGGCGCTATCTTTTCAAGACTCCCCTTCTTCCTGCGTCTCCCTTTACGGCTCGTCACGCGGATGAAAGGTATTTCCTCTGAGTCACCGCTTTGCTCGCCTTTGTCGGCCGTCCACCGCGCCGCTCTTTAAGACCTCTGATGCACAAGGCTGCGGCCTGCGTTTTTTTTTTTTGACAAGTGCACCTTTTCAGAGCGGATGTTTCCGGTCCATGGCTCGATGCATTGAGGACAATTTGTGAAAGGTGCACATAACTCGAGTATTTTGTCCCATTTATGACATCAAAGTTAAAAGTAGCGCATGCGCCTTTTCTCAAAAGTGGCCCACTAATGCTGAACAGTAGGGAGGACGACACATCCATCCCACGCGCACATGCAGTCTGTTGTAAAAAAGCATTTTCTTTTCTTCTGGTCGTCATCTGCTACTCTCCCCACACACAGCTTGCTATGAATAATAACACTAACTGAATAAAGTCATTTTAGGTCGCGGTCTAGGCGGCTTGATTACCGTATTTTCTGCACTATAAGGCGCTTCGCATTATAAGGCACACCGTCAATGAATGGCCCATTTAAAAATTGTTTTCACTGCATTATAAGGTGCATAGTATAGCCACAATTGTGGCTGCAGTTGTGTTATGCATCCACAAGATGGAGTTACGCTAAAGGGTAAACAATACAGCTTTCTATGAGTTGAGTTGAGTTCTATCTATCGAGCCCCAGCTGCAGTTGCGCTATGCATCCACTAGATGGAGCTATGTTAAAGGGTATACAATACAATAAAATACAGCTGAGAGCCTTCACAACCGCTCCAGCTGTAACAAAGCATTTACAGAACTTTTAAAAGACTATATCCAAGAAATCCGAATATTGATCCATATGTACCCCCCTCAGGATGTAGAATGAACAACACAAAGTCCATAAAAATACAGGGTTTATCATTGGCAAGCCGTGGGGCTAAATATCCTTAGAGGTCTTGCTTGTCTCGTTCTTCCTTCGTGTAGCCAGTAGTTAACTATGCTTTTGGTATTATCTTTGTTTCATAATGGCTGCGTAGAGCTCACAAAGTAGTGGTCTGTTTGAGTGTGTGTTAGCGAATGCACGTCCATTAGTGTCGGGCAGAACCCTTTTATGTTATAATTGGTTCCTGCGAATAATCACTGGGGACTATTAAGAAACTGTAAGTAACACCACATATAAGGCACATCGGACTATAGGGCACACGGTTGGCTTGTGGGAAAAGTGAATGCTTTTAGGCGTGCCTTATAGTGCGGAAAATACGGTCATTTCTCAAAATGCGCACATGCATTACCAACTATTGCAGCACAACATGCAACTCACAGAGCCCCGATGTAGAAAAAAGTTTGCGGTTCTGGGTTCAAATTTCAGCCCCCTTGTCGGCACCTACTCAAGCGAGACAGAAAATGTACGGCTATATAAAAGGAATTGGTCATTTTAGAAGACGGAGACTGGAATTAATGGGAAAGCAGGCACGGAATGACTAAATAAGATTGAGTGCGACAGCCCAATTAATGCAATGAAAATGCTGTTTTTTTTCTTGAAAGCGGTAAATTGATGCTTCCGGCTCCTCCCCGCTGTCACGTCCGTGTTATATTATGTACGGAATGTAGCCTGTTCCTGTGAGTGAAATCATTTGTTCTGTCAAATGAATCAACTTCCTCTGAGCCCTCTTCATGTCCACATTTGGGCATACAAAGTCAGGTCCAGCTGCGACGCACATGCCGATCTCATGCAGGAATGTCACATATCTGTTATTTCAGACCTCAGGTCGGCAGGCTGAAATAATAACTGACAAGGCATTATCAATGAGACGCAGCCAGCCAAACAGCTTCACGTGCTTCCGCTTGATGTCTGCGCCTATTAAAGTCGCCCGGCCGAATCGGATCTGGCTTCTTAAATGAGAAAACATGACATGTCACGCTGCTCTAATCTACAGAGCAAAACACTGATTTAATTTTTTTGGCCCAATAGTGAGAATGAATGGAGGGGAAGGTGGGGGACACACATGTTTGAGGTGACTCATGTGTGAGGCATGAATGTAAAATGAAATGCCGTTCATCATTGACTGAAGTTAATCTTTGGAACAGAAAGTCATGGGGTGGCCAAACAGCTCCTTTACATAAACACGCTGCCAACCAGTGCAATAACGTTCACTGATATGAGGACAAAGCCCGAGGAGCTAACGCGAGACAATGGTTAATGAAGGCGCACTCATGGGCATACTTCCGGAACTTGATTATTCCTGGCACGGTTATATAACGGCGAGTATCGTCATCCCTGAACATAGCTCTCGTCCGGTCGGCGCGTATAAGCCTCTGCAGCGCTAACGCGGTTGCACTCAGGTTCACCGAGGCAGCCGAAGAGGCGGAAGGAGCCGCGTTTAATTGGCTAATTTAACCCCCCGATCGTTGTGCGCCGTGAGCCCGTTTGAGAATAGACTCGGATTAAAGGAGACACTGATTGCTGCCTTCAAGGTCGCAGGCGGGCTGAGGTGGCGGTCTGTTATAGTTGAAGTTGAAATATTTGCTTCGAATAGTTCGTGAATTCAGTGGAGTCATTACTTCATGTGCAAAACGGATACACTTAGGGGGGGGCAATGATTAATCAATTCATCGACAACTCATCAATTGTGAAATGAAGAGATAATTATTTTTGAAAATCAATTCACCCTTTCATGCACAAATAATGATAACCTGTGACCCAGGGGTGTCACACACATTTTTGCCGCGGGCCACATTGTAGTTGTGGTTTCCCTTGGAGGGCCGTTATGAATTTTGGGAAACCGTATAAACGTTTAATCCCCTCCACATATTACATACACAGCGCAAAACAAATTGATGAATAACTAGTTTTAAAATCAGAAATCAAGAATAATGGCTGTTATTGTGGATTACATATGACAACTTTAAATTTTGGTTAAGACTTCAGCAAGCATCATGGAACTTGACATGCTTGATTTGCTTTCGCGGGCCACATAAAATGATGTGGCGGGCCAGATTTGGCGCCCCCGGGGCCTTGACTTTGACACCTGTGCTGTAACCTCATAAACTGTCCCTGAAAGGGTTAATCTCTCTAAAATTGTCTCAATCGTCAGTGGTTCAGGCCCTTGACATTAAACTGCTCACAGATTTTGTGATTCCTCTATGACAGCTGAATCATATCAAAATATATATATATATATAAAAATCTGTGAGTGCATTTTCTGTGGGAGGAAACCGGAATACCCGGAGAAAAGCCACGCAGGTATGGGGAGAACATGCAAACTCCACACAGCAAGGCTGGAGCCTGAATCGAGCCCTGCACCTCTGCATTATGAAATGGACACGCTGACCCATAGGTCAAATTGTCATGTGTCATAAATAACGTTAAGATTTTGCAATGATTTTGTTACCCAGTTAACACTCACTCAAACAATAATTGAACAAGCTATGATCGTTGATTTGACTGATTTCAAAACTGGTAATCCATCAATTTGTTGCAATGTATAAACATGTATTTAGTTTCACTATCGTAACGGCCCTCCGAGGGAAGACTTAACTCCAAAGGGGCCCGCGACAAAAATGAATTTGACACCCCTGTCCAGTCGACCATGCTTTTTTTAAATATATCGATGCAATGATGTTAAAGTGACCGCAACTGTCAACATTCAGAACAGAGTGCAATGATTCGTCCAACTGCGGTATCATCGTAACTTGCAACCATCCTTCAACTGCATGTCTGAGATTATTCATTTTATGGAGTCACCTAGAGCTCAAAAAAATTATAATAATATAAAAAGGGGAAAAAAAAAAAAAACAAAGGCTCCCTCCTATTTTTCCCCACATGGCTTTATCCATGACTTGGCCTTTCAAAAAAAAAAGTTCCAGCGCTACTGGTCCGCTCTGACATCACTGTGGGGGGACCCGCCCCCCAGGCTGCAGAAGCTGAGAGGGGGGCGTCACCGCATATCTGCGCGCCGCGCTTATATCTTACGCCAGAGCCGCTTTCAGCCATCAGAGTGGAGAGACGCTCCAAGCGGAGAGAGAAAGCGGGAGAGACACGCACCCGACGAGACTCGGAACATAAAGCGCGCAAGCTCCAGCGGATCCACGCGGAGAGCCAACAGCCAGTCGCCAGCAGCACTACGCGGGGTGTGTGTGTGGGAAAAAAAAAAACTAGAAGAGCGATGCAGTTGCTGTACCACCACCTGCTCAGCCTGCTGCTCGTCAGCAGCCTGCAGCTTCACCAGCTCACCGAGGGCTGCTCGTGCGCCCTGACGCACCCGCAGGACGCGTACTGCAACTCCGACATAGGTGAGGAAATGAACCGTCGCGGCCCATCGCACACGATGCCTGCACTGAAACACTCGTGGACACGGCGACAAGCTTGTCGCCGTTTCCCCTCACAACTAATTAAAAGGCGCGTACATATCCGCCGCTTGTAATACAACGCAGACTATTTTGGGGGAGCGCTGAGTACGAAATTGATGGCCGAGCACTAAAAACAGCTTCGCGTCAGCTCCAAAGGGACTTAAGGAGAGTTTCCGACAGAGCTGCCAAGCTTTTTTATCCACTTGGGCAGCATCTGAATGTTTTGATGCACTTCAGGGAAAACAGCTACGTGGATCATAAATGCGTCATGCAGGTCATGATTTTTTTTTTGTAATTTATGAATTGAGACAGTCCTTGTGTCAGGCTTGGTTTGTGCAACGCATTAAGAGACGTACATTCATTCATATAGATTAGCGGCGACTAACCCGTTCAGACAACGATCGAGCCGGGCAAACATCCCACATGCGGAATGAGCGCACTCGCAAGGCACCGCTGTCTCCGTCAGCTCCGTGTTAGCCAATTTCCCCGCCGTCCGTGTCGGCCCGACATCGCATGACCTCGTGAGTTGGATCGGAGAGATTGCAAGATCACACGAAAACGGGAGGGGGGGGGGGGGGGGGGGGGAGAAACACGTGAGAAATGCGCCGTGAGCACAGAGCCGCTCTCCTCGCGGATACACACAATGCTGCGTGTCATTGGTGCTCGCATCAGCTGACGCTCACGTCGCAACTATCAGAAGGGGATTCATTTGACATTTAAACAGAGCCGTGAAGGCCTCGTATCGTCAATCCTGCAACAGGCTTGGATGGAGTGAGGGAAAAAAAAAAAGTATTGGGAGCAGGACGGAGTCTGAATCTGGAACTGACATATCAATCCTGCAACAGGCTTGGATGGAGTGAGGAAAAAAAAAAGTACTGGGAGCAGGACGGAGTCTGAATCTGGAACTGACATCAATGCAGTGATCAATTATGAGGCACAAAACTCGGATTTCCAAGTTGGGGATGTTTTCAACCTGGATTTCAAAGCATTAAGACTAAAAAAGCATTGACTTCACTTCTATTAGCAGCTGACTTCCATTCACGTGCAGCATAACAGCAAAATGCTGCTGCATCATGTGCGCTCGGACCTCTTGGCTCCACCGACTGCAGGCCTCAGACCCCGGCTGGGTTTCTATTCCATTCGCATATCTTTAATATATTCATGGACCCAAAGCATTCCGTGATTTATAGACCAGTAGTAGAACGATTAAAATCTATCCGACAGCTGACTGGGAGCCAGCGTAAAGCCTTTCGGACTGGAGTAACGACTGTTCTGATCCGAGCTGCAGCTGTTTGATGCTCCTTCGAGGGAGTCCAGTCAGAAGGCACTCCCAAAAAGACTTTTCATTGAAATAAACTGGTTGTTTGTTGGTTTTAGACAATGGCACAACGCATTATTTGAGCTTTTGGAATTTGGAGACATAGCCATGCTGGCCAACATTGGCGCGACGAAGAATTTGACCCCTGGTTAGCATATGACACGTCATCTGACACAGCTGCAGTGTTTACGCAAACCTCACGTTTACTGACAGGTCAGGATGTCGAAGACGGTTTGCATGCGCCACTCCTGCTTGTTCAAAACGGGAGTCGGTGGCAAAAACGTCGCGGTTAGAGACGCTAATGCGGCGAGGGAGGAACGTTCTACTTCCGACTGTCAACATCAAAGGTGACAGGCCTGAACCTTCCCGATTTTACAAGCTGAACACTCCAGTTCAAAGCCTTTCGCTCTTGTTTTTTTTGGCCTTGACCCACAATCGCCCGCAGCCACTTGATTCGCTGAATCTCAGTTCGGGTTGGAAATTGGGTTGACGCAGTTTGGTTCTTGTCTCGTCGTGCTTACTTGAACTGCGGCGTGAATCTTTTGGCTTCGAGCACATCCGACGAGAACATTTGAATTCGCACAGGAGTGAAACCGTGTGGCCGTTGTGTTCTCTGGGTTGTCAGGCCTGTCAGTTTTCCGACGACGCACCTGACCTTCTGCTTTGACGGACCGAGTCGGCAGCCATATTATCGGATGACTGGGGTAAAAGCCATTCACGAGGGGAAGAGAGCAGCAGTTGTTGCAAAGCCCCCCTGAAAGCAAGATTAGAGGCCTGGCAGCAAACTTTGACCCTTGCGATTTAATTAATAATGTTCTATCGCCATGTTCGTTCCCAAGCCCCTGGGGGCGTGACGGCAGCAAACCTACACATGTGCCTTGAACCGGGTCAGTTGCAGGGGGATTAGCGTGAGACGTATTTTTGCTTGGTGCGGGATTGCCGGTCAGGCACCGAGAGTAACAGTTCCTGCCCTGCACTGTTTTGTTTTTTTTTGGTGTGTGTGTATAGTGGCCCTTTGTCAAGCAAGTCGTGCCTGGTGGCTTTAAAACTTTGCGTAACCCGGGGGCTTAGTGACCATGGTCCTGCAGAAATCGAGCCCTGCTGTGAAGAGTAAGCCGCGGATTTGTTTTTTTTCGAAAACAACTACAGGAGAATCTTGACTCCTCCTCGACATACCGAGTCGACGTCATTCGCCAGCCACGGCTGAGATGTTCGCACCCTTGGCCGAGCGTATCGGATGCGCCACTCGTCACCCCCCACCCCACATCCCTTTGTGATGACCACAAGGCTGCTCGGGGGTGTCATGATTTCAAACGCCAACAGTGACTCAACGCACAGGAATTAATATGTAGTGACTGGTCTCGAACCCGAGCGTCTTCACATTCAAGAGGACATAATGCCATTATTTAATTAGACTGACTTTTGCCTTTACACTGACCCAGATAGGAGACAGATGAAGCCAAAAATCAAACAAAGATATTCGTACAATGATTCCAAGTGTCCACCTAACCTAAAAATGACAGTTTTAGTCAAAAATAACTTGCCTCGAACCTGAATCGAGAGTACATTTTTTTCCCTCCTCCATTTGACACAAACCTCTACAGCAAGGATTCATTTCCAGTGTTTATTTTTGAGCGTGGTAGCCTGTGCGTCCTGAGAACTCCTCTTCCGCCCACTCGCCTCCCCAAACCCTGGACCGCTTTCTTGCGCCGGCGCCCGCCTCACTCCTCGCTTTTATTTCCTCCCCCGCAGTCACACATATACCCACAAATGACTAACCGCGTTCGTCGGCCGCGTAGTACGTTGGCCGAAATGAATGTTTAACTCAATTACAGGCTCGCTTTAAGATGAAGCATTTGCGCGGCGCTCGTGTGGGAACCGAGAGAAATCCATTCGCTCGACAGACCCCCGGTTACCTTCTCTTAGGACGGAAAAGCCTCCCGCTGATAAAAATTGGCGTCGCCTCCTCTGCTTAGGATGAATGGTTGTCACAGCTGCGGTGTTTCATAAATGGGTTTGAGTTTGACGTAAACGTAGTTTGTTGAACGGAGGCGGAGGTCAGCTAGTCACAGAAATCATCCGTTCCCCAGAGCAGCGTAGGCCCTTTGCGCATTCCACGGGATGATGGCACCGCCGCCGATCGATTAGTGGCTGCCGTCCAGAACAAAAGGGGTCCGATCTGGATGTACTTGAGTTAAAGGTCAAGCGGAAAGGAAACTTGGCCAATCATCTTTTGAGTAATATTTGCAGCTAAAACTATTTCAAGAATACTTTCATTAGATTTTTTTTATTTATGTACGTAACCCACCCAGATTCACAGTTAGACCCAAAGCAACGCGCTGAACAACGAAAATGTTTTTGTTTGGCAATGTCCGGCGAGTGACGTCATTTACAGAACGCCGAGTGCAAACGGTTGTTTCAGTGGCCATAAAGAAAAGAATAGGGTGCATAAATGGGGCGGAAAATTCAAACGATACAGTTTCGTCCTCGCAAAACGAGGGGAATTTCATGCCGGTGTCGACGGACGTGCTTTGTTAGAATCACTTCGAAGACCTCTGCTTTCTCAACCCCCCCCCCCAAAAAAAAGATGCTCATCAATGAATAACTGGCCGCTGTTCATGAAAACATTCGATTCAAAGTATTATATTAGTACATGGATGTAATCCTGTACAAAAATATTTCAAACTATATGAGTACATGGATGAAATCATCTTTCATGGTTAGCAACTAACGTAGCACATTTGACAATAAAGTTCACATGAACATGAACAAAATGGCCGACAAAGCAACAGTAACTCCCGTAGCAATGACAATGGAGGACACAAAACTGACGATAACGCGTGCTATCAACGCTAGTGGGAATAGAGGGCTCCGTCCTTTTAGCAATTACCCGGCAATTGCCGCCGGTAGTGCATTGTGGGTAATTGCTATAAGGACGGAGCCCTCTATACATGGACCAAATCGGTAATCCCATCGTGCGCAATTTACAGCATGGCACAGCATCGAAAACGCAAACAATAAGGCTAGGCTAATAGCCGCGGCCGATTTAGCTTTTTGTTCCACCAATCCCGATGGGTCTCGTAATTTTACTCCATGTCCGGCTGTTCAGGCACAACATTTTCCGCATCCTGAGTATCTGGTTGTTGGCAAGATGTATGGTCCAACAAGAAATTAAATAAATTTGTTCCCATGCTTTTTTTTTATTTTTTTTTATGTGTTTTGTTTCATTACTTGTGACGTAAAAATATCGGATTTGGGATTTTCTAAAATGACTTCACAGTTGACCTTTAAATCATCTGGTCCCTTTAAAAACTGGCTTAAGTAGGACTCCTGAGGACTGGTTTTGGGGTTAAGAGTTGTGTAAGAAAACAAGAACTTAAGGGGGGGGGGGTAAAGTAACAGAGGCAAAAGGAATCTTGTTATATCTGCACATTCCTCTTTAATTGGCCTTTGGTTCCGAGGGTAATTAGTCAGGAAAAGGTCTGTCGAATAGCACTTGGTTACGTCTTGCAGCGCTAAAGTAAGTAATGGCGCAAAAATTCACTTGGACTTGACGATTGCAGCATTCTCGTATCCTAACCTTTCTGAACGAGTTTCGATTCCACAACTAAAACCGGCAATTTGTGTCACAAAAAGGTATCAGGCCCCCGCGGCTTTCACGGCAACCGAAATCCCAGTTTTATGATCCGAATGTTTTGGTTTCTCCACCTAGGCCTTGAGAATAAACATTGGGAACAGTTAACAGCTAACAGGTGGTTCTGCTGTTACGGCGACAGATCCAAATACAGACCCGGTTTCAGGTTCGCTTTCGTCTCACATCGGGATCTTCATTATCTTGCGATTGCTTCCTTTTCGGGGTTTCATTTCTATCCCCGTTTCCGTTTGCTCGGAGGTATTTCGCTCAGAGAAATCCAGGCCAAGGAGGCCGGATGCCGTCTTTCAGCAGGAATGAAAAGGTTCCTCACCTTTTCACCTCCCTTTTCTGGGGAATGCGAACCCCTAAAGAATGTTAGAAGGAAATTCCACGGGGGGAAGATAACAAGCACGGTCAGTGTAAGTTGTGTCTGCGGCTGCCGGGACTCTTGGCAGCAGGTGAACTTCATAGAGTACTGATCTCTTATGCGGGGCCCGCAGGGTCTGCTCGGGCTCAATTTATTGGCGCAAATCGTCCACAATAAGCCCGCTTGCTTCTACGCGAGGGGAAAGCAAACAAATCACTGTCGGAAAAGAGCGTTTACATGGGGGTCCTACGTCCAGATAAGATCTTTTTGAAGTCCCTCATCCCAATATAGAAGGCCGACTGCTTTCGCAGGACTCGCACTCCAAATTATCTGCTGCTCCGAGTGAGTTTGTTTTACGATTATCGACTGGATGGATAAATAAAACTCCAAATGTCCCTTTCGCGTTTCCGCCCCGTTCGCCCTGCTTGGCAACCAGCAGCAATGCAGAAAATCGGATAAACGGATTAACCGTAGTGCCAACCCGGGGTCCTGAAATTGGTATTTATCGGTCCTTTTTAATGCCTCCTTACCAGGGCCAAGGCGCTATGTTTGCGTGATGCTCAAAGTTGGACGCATGATGGAATGTGACAGTTTGTCGGGATCAGCGGCAAAAGTTGTTGACTAGGTGCTGCCTCTCTCTCTCTCTTTCTCTCTCTCTCTGCAGTCATTCGCGCCAAAGTGGTCGGCAAGAAGCTCCTTCGAGATGGACCTTTCGGAACGATGCGCTACGCTGTCAAGCAGATGAAGGTGACTCTTTCTTCGTTTCGTTAAATGGCAATAGCTCTTGGCACAACGTCATTTTTGGATGGAAACGTCACCGTTGGACCACGGTCAATTTAAGGTCCGGTGAAACGCCGTTGCCGGATGGCTGGAAAAGCGAGTCGCTTCGATATTCTTACATAACGCCGCATATTTCTCAGAGATGCTGACATCAGCCCGATGCTTAGACAGGAGCCAGGCTGCGGGATTATGGGGCTCTGGCGGCATTACATCTCGGCCAAAACTCTCACGTAAACATTCCAATCGTTCTTCACGGCAACACTGACGAAAGGCATCAACAATTCGATTGCATTTTTTATTTTATTTTTTTTTTGACAGGGCATGTTGACCTCCTGGTTTATTTATTTGGATTCTCGTTTGCTGATTTTTTATTTATTTATTTATTTATTTTTTACTGGAAACACAGGTTTTCCACGCGGGGTTGATTGAGCATGAAATTCTTTCCAAATTTAAACAAATCCGATGAGAAAAATGCTATCCAGAAGCCCCCCCTACCCCCCTCGCCCCAATTTATGGGCTTAAGTAACAGTTTGTTCTGGGAGCAGTAAATCTAAACATGGATTTCCTGTTGTTCCCAGACAAATAAATTGCGCCACGGAAAAGCCGACAGTTCTCAGAGCAAAACGCCGACTCCGCATACCTGCGCTAAATAGAGAGAGCCGGGGGTCCCGCG